CACGCCCCTGTTCTAGGTGGACCGGCGCCCTTTATGCTCGGTATAGATGCTTCTGGGCTAGACCCAGCATATTCTGCCTCTAACTCTGAAATTAGTGTGGAGCAACTGGAGAGCGGAGAAGTACTTGAATATGGAGATGGTCTTTCTGCAGGGTCAGCTCCAGCATCTCATGTTCCCCGTTCGCAAGTGCAAACAAATGTTTTTCATTCCGTCTCTCAGCCTTCTTCCTCGTCACCTTCTTTTGCAGTTGCTGAAGGGCCAGAGGCAAATTTTCCTTCCATCGCAGAAGGAGAAACTCAAGAAACGCGATGGGTTGACCTACAAACGCGGAGCTCCCAAGAAAGCCACACAATCGACAATGCGGCGAATGCATCACCTACTGGGAACAATATCATGCCTAAAGAAGGGATTCTGGGGGAAAGCACCATGCAAGTGTCGACCAATCTGCACGCCCCTGTTCTAGGTGGACCGGCGCCCTTTATGCTCGGTATAGATGCTTCTGGGCTAAACCCAGCATATTCTGGCTCTGGGTCTGGTGAACAGCGGCTAGAGAGCAAGGAAATATGTCATGATGGAAATTGTCCTCCTGGAGTGTCATTTCCTGCAGGTAATGTTCAATATTTGCAGATGCCGGCACAGGCTGTACAGCCACTCTGGGCGACATATTCTTCATTGCCATGTTTCGTAGGCTGCACGACAGCAGGCCAGCAGTTTGTCTTGCTTACGGAGCAACCAAGGCCTCAATTCTTGCATATCGGGTTCTCACAACCAGGACCATCTGCGTCGGGGCCACTGCTGGTGCAGCTGCCTTCCGTGAATCTGGCGCCAGCAGCAGTTCCCCTTACAACACAGGCCCTTCCTATTACGCAGTCTTCAGACGCACTAGGTCATAATACACAACCTCAGCTTCCGCGGACTGCTGAGGCGCAAACTTTGGCCTCAGCCTCAGTAGAGGCCTCAAATCATGCAGGTGAAGGGACCTCAACACCAAACGCAGAAACAGGGTCTCTTCCAGTGCCGGCGGGGGCAAGCGATCCCAGTACCAAGCACCCCTTTATTCGGCTTCCCGCTCTAGGTCCGAAGGTTAAACCGGGCCAGCTCGTGGGTCATATGAAGGGTTGTTTGTTTAGAGATCAGCCTATTGTTAATCGCCTCAAAATCGTCAGGAGTCTCCTTTCACTCCCTGTACTGCACGCTCCAGATGCAAATTTTCTCATTTTTACTACAGCAGAACTGGCGCTTCGCGCACTTACCACAATGAGGAGCTCAGCTGCTATGCTGCGGCCTTCTATGGCTGTAAGAGCCCTAGGGCGTCGGTTTCTAGTTTTCAATACGGTTCATTCAGTATTGGCAATAGTAGGGAAGAATCCGCAACTGGAAGGTTTGTGGGGCAAAATTATCCGTCTCGTGCCGACGATGTATACCCGCGAACCTCCAGAAATATTGCGTGGCAAGAACAAATTTTTGTATCTTTTGGCAAAGCAGTTAGAAGAGGCTCTCCAGTTATACAAAGAAGGCAGTGGACCTTCAGAAGAACAAATAATCGACATCAAACGAAAGTTGTTCTGCTCGGATTACTCGCCAGGGTGTTTCCGCAGTTCCCCGTGGGATCCGTGGAGAGAGGACGACGCGCAATATAAGGAGTCCCCATGATCACCGTTAAGCAACTTGGTTTTGTCGCAATGACGTCTAGTGTAAAGGAACTGGAGCGCAAACGCACTAGAAACGTCTTTTAACCTGGCACGTACAAAGCCCAGAACCAGCTGGGCAGCTCAGTCATACTGTGAGCCCTACAATATAAACGCAGCATACTGCTGACCAGGTACGTCTCGATCAGGTTCTTCATGGTATCATTCAATCGTTGTGGTTGAAACACTTGTTTATTTACAGTTTTTTGGCCTATTGCTAGAAAACTGGAGTCTACAGATTGTGACTCTTCCTACAGCCGGGAGCCATGCAGAGGAATTAGGCTGGCTCAAGGACCAGACACTCTCTGCAAGCTCTGCTATATTTTGGCTGCACGCGCTTTTTCCTCTTGTTTTTTCGCTTTGGATAAACTGAGCCAAATGATTACCCGGGCGGTTTGGCGGTTCTCTATTGTGGTACGGGCGTTCTGCGTTGCCTGCCTCAACTGCGTATCCACGCTTCCCGGCATGCACAAATATAAGCGCTCTCTCATAATATGCATGCATTCTGCGTATTGGCGCGAATTTGCGCTTGCATGGGTCTTCATTGATTGCAGAGCTTCTTGGTAGTGGGAGCCCTCCAACTGTTAAGTATGCAACCATAGAGTGTCTTTTGCCAGCAGCCTCACACATGCGTTAAACCTGTAACTGGGTTGCTGTTTAGAGCAAGACTGTTTTTGGTTGTTAGTTGGAACATACAGTGAGCTGAAGTGCAATTTACGCTTTTCACGAAATCACGGCTTAGTTTTTCTTCAGGAAATCGTGGTACGGGATTCAGTTGATGCGCAGCGTGCGGCTAAGCCACGAAGGGTTAAGGCTCATATGAATGCAAAGGGACGGAGAGCAGATTTTAAAGATGCCACGAAAGTAGCTAGCGTAGAGCTGTCATCACAAGATGCTTTGTATGCAGTGGGAAGCTGCTCGCGCGACGAGAGCACGAAATTGGGTTGTAAGTTGCTGTAGGAAAGCCAGCTCGTACATATCTTCAACCTTTCTTCCCGTGGGTTCTGCTGCAGCTTTGAGCAGCGTAAAGCGCTGATCCATACATCTACTGACGCCGTCTGCTGCAGTGGTTGCGCACGAAGTGTTGATGGTGCTGACTATACACGTGAAGGTCACCTGCGGTTACGGCCGCTTTCCCGAGGAGTGTCGTGAGACCTACCACATCATTGACGCTTCGCAGGACTCCTTCCGAAACCATTTCCAAGCTTGGCTAGGAAGGATGTGTCCAACATGGTGGCTGAACTGGTTGGCTTTCGGTCAGTAGTACGTGCGACCAGCTTAAAGCGGTTTTTCCGCGCGGCAGACTACCTCCAGAGCACTGCTGTACGTGTTTTCGTGCCCTAGAGCTGGCCAAAACGGAGCAATTACGCAGGGTGCACGTGGCAGCTGCAGCGTCGTTACCCTTTGCTGCAAGCGACGGGGAGTAAAGGCAAATGCAAATTTCAAGTTTTGATCTTTCACCAGTAATGGTGGTTAGCGTTTGCAAGGCAGTATCATCCTTTGCGCAGTTATGGCCCCATATCAGGTGCAGGTGCATACATTTTGCTTGAGGACATCTGAGTGAGTTACAGATATTTGAAAGCCTGACAAAAAAGATTTGTCAGCTTATATATTTCCTGAACTACTAGAGTCGTTGGCAGCTCCTTGTTCTCCGCATGCAATCCCCCCGAAACAGAGATATCAGCCTAAAGACAAAACAGCGGAAACCATCCGCTGTCTTTTCATTATTTGCTCATTTGCGTAGCGTAACATTCTGATGTAAGGGCATAATATTTGAGGCTGTTGCTTCCTGAAAGCGTAATCTTAGACATTTGTACATCCTTAGACGGGAATAAGAACAGAGGGACAGAGAGACGGAGGTACAGTTGAACTTTGATGAGGCACGACTGTTCACACGTTGCTCCTAGTGATCGTCTTGCGTTAATGGTCCTACCTGCGCAGGTACCCACCATAGCGCTTTGCATTAAAGAGACTTTCACGCCCTATCGCAGAATTTGTTTATGTACTTTTTCTAACAAAATGCGACGTTGTAGGCTTTTGTGCCAACTCCAAACCTTAAATTCATACTGACATTAGGCTTTGGCTGATCTTTGGCAAACGCCGATGTCTTCGTTCTGTTGGTCTGTCAGCATCCGGCATTATCCTGCATTTTTCCTCTTGTCTTCACCAGGAAACGCTGCACGCGTTTTTCTGCAAAACCAGCAGCAGCTCTACAGCCAGCAGCTTGCTAAGAGTACTCACTGGTATCCCGCTAGGGATATTAAGTTTGTCCAGCTATGGTGGGTGATTTCTTACTACAGGAATGTAAGAACACAAGTTGTTGCACGTTGCCACAGAGAATGCGAGCAATACTGGCTAGACTTCTTGTTCAGACTAATTTTTCTGATGCCTTCCAGACTATTACGTACGGTAATTTACGTCAGCTGCTAATCCTTCCAGTTATTTGGCATTTGCAGCGCTGGTGCAGTTGAGCTTACACCGAAGATGCATCTAGACCGGAACATGAGCAAAAGACTAGCCTTAACGGCACACGTCAGAAGCCTCATCAAAAACTTTATTCCGTGGATCTCCGCAAAACACTGCATTGGAGGTGCTTTTGGGATACTTGCGCGCTGCCGTTAGTGCAGCGAGCGGAAGCCTCAGGTTTGTCTTAAACCATGTCGAGGCCAACCTACCCTTGAATAGCCCGAGTACCACAAATTGTACTATTTAGGCTGTAAAAGCTTGTTATTAAGCAAAATAATAATCGTGAATGTCATGCTCATTTTGTGTGTGTGTGTGTGCATGTGTGTGCCTGTGCATGCGTGTGCCCGTGGGTGTATTGTTTACAGCGAAAAATAATCTGTCTTCAGTTGACGACCCACTGTAAAGCTTGCGTACATTATTCAACGATTGATTCACGTAAATATAATTATAATAAATCAATTGATTTGTTATTCATAGTATTTTGAAAGTAAACCTACATCACTATTAGTATATAATAAAGAGTTTAATAGCCCTTTATCTATTATGTGTATTTAATTTATTGTTTTTGTCGTTGTTTGTGTCCAGAAACTTTGCTAACGAATTCGTGAGTAAACTGTGAAAAATCAACTTTGGATTAGAAGCATCCCTACTACTATAGGAGTATTCTCGTTATTATTCTCGTTATTAATGTATCTTTAAATCGTACTAGGCTTACGAACTTAATTTAATTTCCTCGGAAGGGAGCAAATCACTGCCGTGTTGGGCCATGTCTAATTTGGTCATGGAGCCAGTGCTCTGTAACTCTGCCGACAAGCACACAAATGCATATACATGCATCTTTTGGTATCTTCACGTCACAGTCATATTGTTGCTGTTTTATATTTTCGGTCCAAGCATGTACTGCAGTCACAGGACGCAGAGAATTCTGGAGTAGTAAGGACTACGGTGCCCGGGGGGCCAGTTTGGAATTCTTGTTGAACCCCCTTATGACTACAAATCTCCAAAATGAATAACGTTTATACTCGACGCTCTCAGGGAATCGATTAAACATCCAATTCAGGCCAGAGCCAAATCTAGATTCCTTGTTGCAGGTGTCGAACTAGAGTCGTTCAGCGTAGTTTCCAGCGGTTTCTCTCGTCTAAGAGTTCGAGTTTCTGTTCACTCTCGCAAGGCTCGCTGTTAGCTGAAGCCATCGGAAAGTATATGCATGGCCGCTATGAAGCGAGGCAGCACACGGAAATTTTTCCGTGATTAACGTTCAGACACTTCGCTGGGGCGATGGTTCACCTGCAGTTCCCCCAGACGCTGCGAGCTATTCATCGGTAGTGCACCTTCCAAACTCTCCACGCGCTTCGCGCGGCAAAGCTTCTCATTTCCGAATCACTTTTGAAATCTTTTCGTGAATAATCTATCGTTCACGAAGCGTTGTTTGCTGTGATTCCCGGCTGTGGGCCTCACCAGCATCACACTTACCACAACAGCAACTTATTTTCGAAGGCACTTCCGTGCTACACCAATAACACAACAGATATCACTACTTCAAAAAAGGCGATTGCCACAACAGCTTTTTTCATCTACTACAGCAAGTGCCAGCAACACTGCATGGCGAATTCAATAAATCGCATGTAGTGGCTGCAGATGCACGGGAATGATTACCACAAATGAAACCAGATGCAAGGCAGCAGCATGCTGCGAGTTTGCAAGCTTCATTTGGCGAGCCCCTGGACCGAAGGAGAGTCTTTTGATAATCACTCACATGTTTTCTGGAATTCCTCGTCGTCAAGTCTCCATTGATCCCACAGTGTTTCAAGGAAGCACGTGGGACTATAGGTCGAGCAAAATAACGCTCTCTTGATCTTTAGCTCTTGTTCTTCTGTAGGTGCCTTGCCCGCCTTGTACAATTCCATGGCAGCGCTTAGTTCTTTCGCCAAAGTAAACTGAAATTCACTCTTGTGAGAGAATGCGCGTGGACCTTCGTGGCTGTATTCTGTTGGCACCACTCGCAGCATTTCACGCCACAAATGTTCGAGCTGTGTGTTGTTTCCTAACACTCTCATTGCTGAATGCACCGCATTAAAAACCAGAAAGCGACGTCCCAAGGCTCTCACGGCATTAGATGGCCTTAATAGTGAAACTGAGGCCGTCATAAGAGCGATCGCTCGTATGGCCAACTCTTCAACTGCAGTGACAAGCATATTTGCATTCGTAAGGTTGAGAACAGGGAGCGCAAAGAGATCCCGAACAACCTTGAGGTGCGTAACAATAGGTAAATTCCGAACCATAGAGAGGTCTGATAAATCAAGAGACTGTCTTGGTTTCACACCAGGCGCCAAAACAGGCAGCCGAACATACGGGTGCACCTTCCTGGAATCGTCTTTATTGGGTCCCATGCTTAAAAGCTGTGTTGTTTTCGCCGATGTCGAGGCCTCTCCATCACTGGGGAGCAGAGGTACCAACGATGCTGTTGGGCTTTGAAACAAGGCAGACGATTGATTTTGATCGCTCGTGTCATGGTCAGCGGAGCCTTTTGACTGAGAAGCGGGAAAGGTACAACGTGCAGGCACAAAAGAACTGGAAACTGGATAGTTGGGCGGTGCAACCAAAGTCTGCTTCGCCGGAAGCATACCTTGCTGCCCTGTGCTCTGATATGTTACACCTTCTTGGAGCCGTACAGATTTTGAATAGGACACTGCTGCAAAACATTCACGAGATCGATCTACAGAGGAAGGCCCAGCCACAGGCTGAACAGCTGCTGACTCCACCTCGAAAACATCACCTGGTAGACCTGGGCCTCCAGATTCATCCCTATATACACGAATTTTCGAGGGTTCTGGTTGTTCACCGGGAGCCTGGGAAGTAGGATATGCTCGCTTGCGACTCGAAGCATCGACCCTGCGCGCCAGGATGGGGTCTCTATATAAAAGAGGCGCAGACGAACTGGTGAACGGCTGTTCATAGTCCCCTTGAAAGGCTGTATATCCAGCAGAGGCAGAATTGCTCGCTACTGACGAAGATAATTCTGCCGCCTCATCAGAAGTGCTGGTCCCGAGGTAAGGTTGATGTCCTAGTTCAGCACAGAGCCTAGCAAGCTCCTCAGCGTCGAGAGAAGTCCATTCCCCTTCCACGAAAAATGGATTGCGCGGCTGAAAAGACCCGCCCTCCCTATTTTCACCTGCAAGGCGTCGTGCTAACAAACCCTCGCCAGCTTTACTTCGTCGGGCACTCCGACAGTGTGAGAGCAGCAAAGAAACTACCACCAGGTGGGCCAGAATCAGCCACACCGCACTCAGCAACACTCTTCTTGCTCTCCGACCTCTTCTCGAGGAACTATAGTACTTTTTTTCGGGATCTTGATCCAGTGCGGCGACGGTTTGCTCCTCGGTTGTTATTACGTGCTCGTCAGAATGCGTGGGGGGCTCCCAGGAAGAGTGAGCTCCGTCGAAGTCAGGTTCTGCAGCCGCTGAGGGTGCCGAATCCATTTTCGTGGATACAGGCTTAAGCTCGGAAGATGTGGATGCCCTCTACATTCGCTTAGTTGAACTCGCCAAATGACTCCGAATCACTGAGCTGACAACCTATGTGGCTCAGAGTCAAGACATGTTCATGATTAAGGGTGGAGGCCAAATGCAAATTTTGGTCCCACACATAAAACAAATTTACATCTGCACTGAAGAATTCAGCGGTGCCTGGGATTTTCCAGGCCTTCCTAACCTCTGCTGTCTTGCTCTGCGGAACAACCCGACCGCAGTGTTGAGCACTTCAGTATGCGTGGAATACAACGCGGGACGGCGAACTGCTTATTAAAAACATTTATTTACACAGTGAACGATTAGATACCAAAATATTTTGGGTCGCGCCACTGCCGAAATCGAGTAAGTTATAACGGTCAGATGAGACCTGCCCAGGGATCCACGCCCTGAGCTGCACTGTTTTTGAAGAACCCTTGATTTTCTTCATATTTCTTCAGTCATGAATTTGAGGCCTTCAGGTACCGCTGCAGTTGCTACAGGCAGTGTGGCGAGAACTGTGAGAAGCCCCACACCGCCTAATCTTCGCTGTAGGCCGACAATGTAACGTTCCAGCGCAACAATAATACTGCATGGCCTGCTCGATGTTTAATAATCGGCAAAGTGACGAGCATATGCAGTAATTCTGGTTAAATGCTACATGGATACGCATATATCGTGGATTCGGGAAGGATTCTAAAAGCAACGAGGTTGCCCTACTACATGTTGCTTGGGACAGGAAGCCGCTCCTACGCTTCTTAGTGGGGCGTGCTCAACGCGCACCACTAAGAAGCTCCGATGAAGCTTGGTTGAAAGCTATTCTCGAACCATAAATAAATTATGTGGGGGGGGGCAAAACTCTGATAGTATTTTTGCCAAAGTTTTTAATGGAAGACTCCTTCCAGAGTCAAGTTTTGAGGGCGGGGCAGAAACTTCGGTGGCTAGAGGAAGATGCGCGCCAGGGGGAGGAGAGCATGATGCACAGGGGTGGACTGTTTCTTCCCACCTCATTCCACGGATGTCTCCAGAAATCGAGCCTGGAAATATTTGACTTTTCTCCTGTACTTTGTGCTTTCAATTTAATTCTATGATTACCCCGTTAGATTAGCACAATTATAGGGAGTTACCGCGCAGCCCTGCTCCATTAAGTGGGACACAGTGGCGGACGCGCATTGTGAGCAGCATTGCAGCCTACACGGGCCATATCTGTAAAAAATTTGTGATTATTAGCAGTATAATTCGAAGCATTCGAGTCTTTTAACTGCTGCACAACTACACATTTGGAAGGGAATGTGCGACGCAATTTGGGCCAGAAGCTCAGTAGCGTTTAGACTGAATTTATGGTTCCATGGCTATCTGGGAAGTGGCAAGTGAAGAACTGCATTATCCGTAACTCTAGTAACGAGCTTATGATAGTTTCAGATCCTCTCCAGACGTTCCGAAGTATCCTACTAGTTCTCGATCATCTGGCAGTTTTCGTTCTGACAGTGCGCACTGCTTTCTGGGAACGGAGGTGGCCTCAATGGGCCACCAGAATTCAAGACTACTGAGAAAATATAGAAATTTGAATAGATTTTAGGGGGAAATGGAGCTGTGAGTGCGGCTACACGTGGCACGTTCTGCAGCCCTGCCGAACCGACCCACGCGCTCACTGTGTACGCCAAGAGATACGGTGTAGCAACGAACAAATTCACTTTCGTTTCAGAAAAAAAGGCTTTCCTAAATGCATGTTGGGGTTGTTCCATCGCGTTGTGAGCATGTCGCACGATGTATGTGAGGCCGGCAGTGGGTCGCAATCACCGTGCTGAGGTTGGTGCGCTACAGGCAGAAAACTTCAGCTTTTGTATGCTTATGGGCGAAGACGAATAGCTACTGCATCTTTAGTCACGCAGGCGGCGTTATTGGATCAATGTGAGGTCTACGTAGCAAATGCTCACCGTCACGGCTCTTCCACTCGGAAGCATCTCGCGTGTCATTGCAACTGCAGCAAGGTAATTTCAGTCTCTGTGTCTATTTTTACATAATTCTGAATGTACGTGCATTGCCGCCGCCTTTATCTGTTCTCAGTTGTGGATTACTTTCACGTTTCCACTCTCCCGTGGCTACGTTTAACCGTTATTTCCGGAGACGCTTCTTCTCCGTTTGCCATCTAACTTGTTTAATTCAGCAGGTCTGCCTTTTAAGCTCTCGGGCACGCTATTCACGCGTTCGCGCACTTCCACTTCTTAAGCGCCATTGCTTGCCAATCACCGTAGTTCATGGAGATCCAATGTAGCCAATTATTCCTCTCGGTAAGGTTGCTGCTTCAGCGGAGGGCATCATAGATCTTGAAATCAAAAAGCCTTAGCTCCGACAGACTGCCCTCAGAAGATGCAAAGTTGTGAGCCGCAACACTCTTTTGAATCTGGTATCTAGGCTTGCCCAGCACAGTCCACCGTAAAATTCAGTGGCCTTGAGAGTTCCACAAAAGTGTCATATGATCAAGGCTAACTTGTTTACAGCTTTTACACGTCACTTCACTCAGAGAAGTAGTACGCGTAGCCTTGGAAGCGGCTTGGAAGCAACAAACGGACTCCACGGCTAGCCACGTAAATTTCGTCGCAAATATGTTTCTTAATGACAAACAGAATAAGCAGCGTCATTAATCGTTGTATTCTGTACTGGAGCGAAAGCAGTGGTTGGACGAAGCGCATCCTAGTTGGGTATATCAGGTTTTATTAGAGTACAATTAACGGCCTGTGGGCCTTTAACCTATTGTAGACAAAAGCATCAATGGAGGAGTGCTCAAATCACTAAAGTGGAAACTACATGCCCTGAAACCACGCTGCACTCCGTCCAGTAGTTGGTATTTTACGGGCATGTTCCGCAGCGCCACGGCAAGCACGGTTGCATAGCGTCACACAATGACTTAAATCTGCACTTGCAGAGCAGCACAGGACTTCTTAGGGGAGACGGTACGAAGTTTCAACCGTACGCAGCAGTATCTAATTCTACGTTGACTAGAATCTGGCTCAGCATTTGAGCAAGTGACGTTGACGTTTTCCCTTGGTCGCGAACAGAGACTGCGTAGCGAGCCAGCTGATGCCACAGTCGCCGCTGCAGCCTGAATTCCTGGAAGCGCTTCCATATTTAGGATCCCAGGAGTCTCTCAAACGCAATGGCGTAGTCAGACATAACATAAATTTAGCAGTGAATCTCTTCGTAGGTGTCACCAGCTATGCTGCTACGACAACGAAGATAGTAGTCCCGCGAAAATTTGTCCTGAATTGGACAACGAAAAAAACTTCGAATTTGACGGAACTTCTTTTTGCCCAATTCTGGAAGTAGTTGCATGCTGTAGCCAGCCAGCCGCATGCAGGCGCATGAGCATGTTGCCGCCGCTGCAACTCGTTAATGTAGTGGCAGCTGTGCGCGAGCTGCAGCATCCTTCCGCCCATTTCTGGAATGGATAATACCCAAAAATATGCAAGAAAGCGATTCTGGATAAATTTTGTATTTCTCGTGCTCCAGTAGACGGAGGCGCCTTTCTTGTTGCGGCGAAGTCGATTCCCGTCACGTTAGCTGGCACGGTGGTGCTGAAGTCCTCCCGTTGCAAATGATTCATTTCGCGGCTACTTGGATGCCTTCTCACCTTATTGGGTTATTCTAGACCCGGATGTGTGTACTGTGGCATTCGCGTTCCAATCGTGCAACGCCCTTTACAGCGGAGTCAATATTAACAGTGGCGGTGCCTATCGGACAGCTCGCCTGCTGCCCGAGTAGAGTCAAACAAAGTACGCCGTCCCCTGACATCAGCAGCGCCGTCAGATATAAACCAGGTGGTTGTGTGTCGGGCGCCATTATGGAGGAAGTTCTGCGCCAGCTCCAATCCGCGGTGACCCAGTGCAAATAGGTATGCGTCTATTACTCAGCTGTATGAGGTAGGCCCGGCACTGCTGCTTGTTTATGTGTCCAGTGGACACAGCCACGTTCCATGCCATTAAGGACAGGGGGATGCTGCCGTTAGACACCTAGAGGCTTCCAAGCCACCGTGGTATACTCTGCAGCCTTCGCGGATGCTTCTGCTGGAAGATGCCATGCAGTAGCACGGATGATGGAGCGTGGGGTGGCACTCTCACAACTAGCCCACTAGCGAGGGAAACGGATGCGAGTACTGGGATGGTGGCAGGGCGCACTGAGAGCAACCGCAGACCTCAGCAGCGGCAGCATTGGGAAGGCGGTGGGCCGAAAGCAGCTACCTGGAGGGTTAGATGCAGCAGTTTACCAGGACATGCAGCTGACAGTAGCTGCAGCAACACGCTTGCTTCTTCGGCAGTTGCGTTGGATGGAGCTCGGGGATTTGTTGCGGGCGGAGCTCGCAATACTAATTCCTCTGTCGTTCCCCTAAATCCATTTCGTCCGCTCATGCCGATGCAAGTTGCATCAGCAACTATTGCTGCCCGCGAGGTGGCGCATGATGAGAGGAGTGATAGGAGGGGTAGCGATGGAGAAAGCGATCTTGACTTCTTCACTCCTCTGTCCTCCCCACTCAGAGAGTTCACCACTCCGTCCGTACCGGTAGCTGGCGTGATGCAGACTGACTCTGCCGATGAACAGCAACAGCAGTTGATGAAGCAGCGTTCCTTCACGAAGTTTGGAAAAAGCGGTGTCACTGCCACTTCGTTGTTAGCTGGCACCAGCGTCGATGACCCACAACACCAGAGCACGAGCACAAGCAGCCTACCCACAACGAAGGAATGCGGGCTGCTTTTGGGACGCTTTCCCTTGAGACGGCGTCACATGTCTGCTGATTGTGGAAGCTCCTTTATGCAGCAGACGAAGCATCATCATTCACACACACCGGTGTTGGAGCCAGAGGCGGCTGCTGCCGCTGGCTTGCATCTGCTTGCGAAGACTGTAGCGTCAGCCGCGGCGAAAGACAAGGTCGCACTGACTAGCCGAATAGCAAGGCCCCCCGTGCCAAGCCGACGGTG